ATATATATAATTAAGATGTATAATGATTTGGGATACTCAATATCTAAAAGAAGTTCATACCTTGATATTCAACAAATATTCCATAATAATCCGAAAAGTTTCGACCATTGTGGACTTCAAGCGTAACAGTAGTTCGGGATCTAACTTGGATTTAGTAGGATCCGTAGAATTCCCATTTTCGTTAATCTCCAGGGAGCTTTCGATCTGTGATAAGTGTTCTATCGATTTCTCCAAAATAGTATAGCATGCCGGTAACATAACTTCGTGGCGTTCAACAGGCTTAAAATCTTTTTTCTCCAGCTTATCGGAAATTTCGTCTAGCATTAGACGAATTTCAACACATGCTAATTGTACTACTAAAACAGCAAATTTAAAATCATCGATATTTTCGACTACTGAGTGGTGATCTTTCTTTGATGAGATATTCGGGGTAAACAACCAAGTTGCATCAAAATAATGAAGTAACAACATAATAAGAGAAAGAGCTTTATCACGCTGCTCGCTTCCTAAAATAAAAGAAATAATAATAATTTTTTTTTACAAATTAATTGGTAAGGAAAAATGATATTTGCGTACGGAAAATTACCTATCTTGCTTCTTAAAATATCTCGCAAACCATACTTCGCATTTTGCAGCCAGACATTTGTCTGCGATTCATCCTTAAGAACCATCTCCTGTGCAACCTAACACACCGGTAAATGAGAAATATTATATTGATTTCTTCCTGATGAATAAAGTGTTGTACTACTTTCCTCTAGATACATACTTGATCCGTCATATGCGTAAAAATTTGCACAAAAATGTCAAGACAATTAAATTTGAACATCGTCTGGTCGGTTCGTAAAATTTCAGATAACTCTCCGAATGTCGTAAGTAAAAATGTTTGAATGATTTTTGAATCAAAGAGATGGTAATCCGCTATGACACTGGTGGTGGTGTAATAAATTACTTGCAGAGACATGTCCCGCGTTTCTAGTGTTTATTTTTTGTGTTGGAATAATCAACTTTAATAATTATTTTTTAAAAAAAAAAAATTAACGAAATGATTTACCATTTGTAGAAGATTTTGCGCGCTGCAAAACGTTTGAAACAACTTTGTTGTTAATGAATTGAGTTAAGCCTTGTTTCGCTGAAGCTAACCTCAGAAGGATCTTTAAAATATCCTGAGCTAATTCTTCGTTGATGCTAAAAGCATTTGACAGAACATGAGTGCATAATTGACGTCAAAGACATGAAAGATACAAGAAAACCAAATACTTTGTAGGTAAAAGTGTCGATAAAGTTGGAATGCGTGCATGAATCTGTTTTTTCGTCAGCAATTCGTCCATAGCGCAGAAACAAGATAATATGTGAACAGCTATCGTTTTCAAGGTATAGTCTGGCAAATTTTCTTCCGTAAAACGTTCTATTGACAGAGTAAATGGTAGGTATCTTCGAGATCAACTTATGAAAAGGTTAATAGTGCGCTGTACTTTCATAAAGTAAAAGTACCGGTCCTCATTAAACGTTCCAAAAACTTGAAATCAATTGCATCAAAAATAATCTTTGTAGTTTCTTCATCTTGCTGTAAAAGTCGCGGCAAAAGCATAAGCGCGACGAATTTTGCGTCGTCAGAAGAGGACGGACTTAATAATTCGAGACATCTTGTAATTTCATTTCGACGTTCTTGGTTATTTGATTCGCTCATTTTTTTTTAAATTTAAAGAGGTTCTAGCTTGTGAAACGATCAATTACACGTGCTAAAATTATGCCTTTATTTGTTTACATCATTCCTTATATAGAAGGAGTCTAATTCAAACGATCATTTTATCACATGATCATTTTAGAATTAGTTTCCTATTCGAGCAATTTATCAATCACTTGAAAAACTTCATACTCTTGGACGTTATACCCGACATATTGCGAATCAGCTCCTGGGAGGATCGCAACTTTATAATTTCGCTGCTTGCAATAGTTGTTACTCCCATTCTGAATATAAATATCGAATAAACTTAAATCCCTTTGATCACCAAATACTGGACCGTGTGTCTTCCAGCAAGCAATTCCTTGACCGGAGGCGTGTCGACTAAGAACGGGATCGTGACCATTCCGATCTCCTAAAGAAAAGATAAAGCACCCAACACCGCTCTCACTCCGCCCCCTGCTGTGCCAGCTCGCTAGCGAATATCCACCAATTATTTGGTCATTCTTGTTAGTCTTAATAACTATGACTGTAGGACCTTTGTCGTCACAGATTCGATGAAAATTATCCGCGGTAAAACCATCACGGGAACCGCGACAAATAAGATTGTATTTGTGGGTAATAGGAACTAGAGACGTTTGAGCTGTATCATTTCCATTGATCCAGGAGTCAATTTGACGTATATCAGAATATTTTAAAAGAGTCGAATCTAAGGATCGAGAAATCGATTCACCGTGACTTCGTTCGAGGAGATAATAGCGAACGAGATCTTGGTGTAGCGTGCCAGGCAGTAATTTAACATATGGTAGGATTTTTTTATAAAAATCGGCCGAGGAAATATTAAAGAATTGTATTTTAGATAAACATCGGCGTAGTAAAGTTTCGAGAGCCGTAAAATCGCTGTCGGTCCATTGAGCATGGTTTGGAGACAATGAGTCTATCTGAGCGATTCCCCATCTAAGAACATTATCCCAGATTTCAATTTCTTCTATTTCGAGATCGTCCCTGCCAATAAGAGAAACCAAATTATCCTCACTAAGGAAGGGAAAGTCGTCGGCCTGGAACATAGCGGCAGGATTTGAAGCAGAACGAACGGTACAATATTCTTGAAGTCTCTTGAAATTCTCATGTTTGAATACAAATTGGATTACAGTAGCAAAGTTTTTTTGGAGCAATTCCTTGCGATGTTCTACCAAGAAGCTTTGGATGTATTGGATAAGATCTTCTAGGAGAAGTTCATCCGCTGCAGCTAAGATTTCAAGGATCTCGGAAATGTTTTGATCGTCTAAGGGAATTGCGCCAGTATATATAAATCTAAAGATCACAAGCAATTGTTAAACATTTATTTTTCTTAATATACTAACACAAAACCCACCTAAGAATTATCTCGAAAATGCGTGGAGAAATATTCGGTTTAACAAGCTTGATGTCATTTCCTTTTTTACGTTTAACCCATTCATTCTTAAGTTCCGAGGCAAAATGTGGGGAACGTGCAAATAACAAGCCCGAATGCGCAGAAAAAGTCTTGGTCTCAGGTGGTTTACCAACTTCAATGAAAACATCGGCAAGTTGCGGATCGTGAAAAAGCTTGGAAAAGTTCTGTGATAGATCCGCTAGCAACTTAGGATCCGTCATTTGAAATATCGGTAAATGGAACGCACTGAACCATTTAAAAAGTCATTTGTTGGTTGTGCCTTGATGATGTATTACGTGATACGAATTCCATTAAACTTGTTAAAGCTGTCTCCAAGCCATATTAATTTGACTTTATTGGTCAAACACACAACGGTACTATGTTTCTAAAGAAGTAATGAATTATATACATGTACGTTAAACCCATTTATCTGAGGCACTTCCTTAACATTCACCGTGCTAACCATTACTGTTTATGAATGTGACAGAAAAAATTTGGTTAACAACGTATTCTTACCATCCTTCTCTTTACAAAAAAAAATTTTTTTAAAGTTGAACCTGAAGATAAACAACCTTATGAACAATTAAACCATATCGATATGGATTCGTCTTATACTTGGGCTGAAATTAATTACTAAAAAATATTACTTATATTATAATATATATACAGTATATACAGTATATTTATATTTAATATCAAGCGTAGGTTAGCGTTTGCCATATAATAACTTTAATTTACAAAAAACTTATTTAATTGATTAATTAATCTTACAGTAATTATTGTTATAATATTGTTTTTTTAAAAAAGAAAACTAATATATCTAGGTCAATATCCTAAGGTTACTGCATTAATCTGATACAGTGATTTTAATTTGCAGAGGTCTAAAAACTTGCATTAGAACCAAATGTATAAAAAGAATTTTTTCTCTTCTGGCAAAACTTTATATATAATTGATTACAAATAAAAAAGCAATTATTATTATTTGTTAATAAATAATTTTTTCTTTTTTTTCTTAAGGTCACTTAAATTTTTATTCTTTTTTTATATTCTTTTATTAATTTCATAATTTATTATTATTATATTTTTAATTAGACAAATAACTTTACTCAATTAAAAATATACCTATTTGAAAATATAGATTTTTCTTAAAAATTTTTTTTTGTTTACTAAAACTTGTTTTAAAAAAAATTAAGCTAATATTATTTTTATTAAAAAATTTAAATAATAAATTTATTGCTTTTAAATTATAGTATATCTCGATAATTATATATTTAATTAATAGAATGCAAGGAAATTGTTAAAAACAAAATTTGGTTAACAGTATTAATTATATAAAAATTTGTTTTTGCTAAGAATTTAACTTATTTTTTTTTTTACTTCAAATCAGACTATATATCATTTATGTTTATTAACCCATTAAGAATTTAAACCATTAATTAACAATTAAATATATATAATTATACAAATAATTTATTATTTTTTTTAAGAACTAAAGTACAATACACATATGGTTTTTATTGTTAAATCAGTTAAGATACAAATATCTATATATAAACAGTCTATTAACTATTGCTAATATTAACTTACATTACCATCTCTTTTTACCAAAATGTCAACTTATATCTCATGGGTGGATCCATATTTTTGTGCTATAATTTTTTACTTGTAAAATATAAAATAAGAAAAATTCCATCCAACAATTAAAAAACCTTTTCAATAATCTTTTTTTGGCTTATGACCCAATTATTTTCCACAAATAAATCACTAATCTAAATATATTAACATCAAATAAAATAGTGAAAGTCTATAATTATATAAATAATTTCATTTAATATATTTAATATTAACTATACATATAATAAAATTTAATTGATTATAATAGAATTAATAAAATTAAATTATATAATAACTAATTTAATAGGTTTATTTCAAATTTTAATTATATTTAATTAATAAATTTTTAACAAAAAGCATTTTATTTTGAAAAAATTTTGTAACAAAAATTTAAAAGATCTACAGTATTATTGCACAATAATGTTATCATATATTGTATATAATACTGACCTTTTATAACCTATCACTAAAACTTTAAAGAAAAGGAAGCAACCAATTAACCTTGCTTTAGAAAGGAGTTTTTATTCTTGATAATAATAAAGAAAAAAAAAAAAGTTCTTAAAAGAAAAAACTAATTTGGCAAACCCTTTATAACTTGTCTTGTTAAATAAATAAAAATTTAATTATATTTATTTTTATAAAATTGATTTTATATCTGGAAAAATACTTTCCACATAAAATATTTAATAACCTTGGACAAAGGTTCTTTATAGGATAATTGCTATTGTGTCTATTCGAGCAATTTATCGACCACTTGAAAGACTTCATATTCTTGGACATTATATCCAACAAAGCCTAGCTCAGCTCCCGAGAGAATCGCAACTTTATAACTCTGCTTCTTAGTATAATTGTTGCTACCATTTTGAATACGTTCATCAAATAAGACTAAATCCCTTTGATCTCCAAATACTGGACCGTGTGTCTTCCAGCAAGCAATTCCTTGACCGGAGGCGTGCCGACTAAGAATAGGATCGCGACCATTCCGATCTCCTAAAGAAAAGATAAAGCACCCAACACCGCTCTCACTCCGCCCCCTGCTGTGCCAGCTCGCTAGCGAATATCCACCAATTATTTGGTCATTCTTGTTAGTCTTAATAACTATGACTGTAGGACCTTTGTCGTCACAGATTCGATGAAAATTATCCGCGGTAAAACCATCACGGGAACCGCGACAAATAAGATTGTATTTGTGGGTAATAGGAACTAGAGACGTTTGAGCTGTATCATTTCCATTGATCCAGGAGTCAATTTGACGTATATCAGAATATTTTAAAAGAGTCGAATCTAAGGATCGAGAAATCGATTCACCGTGACTTCGTTCGAGGAGATAATAGCGAACGAGATCTTGGTGTAGCGTGCCAGGCAGTAATTTAACATATGGTAGGATTTTTTTATAAAAATCGACCGAGGAAATATTAAAGAATTGTATTTTAGATATACATCGGCGTAGTAAAGTTTCGAGAGCCGTAAAATCGCTGTCGGCCCATTGAGCATGGTTTGGAGAAAGTGAATCTATTTGAGCGATTCCCCATCTAAGAACATTATCCCAGATTTCAATTTCTTCTATTTCGAGGTCGTCCCTACCGATGAGGGAGACTAAATTGTCCTCACTAAGTAAAGGAAAGTCGTCAGCCTGAAAAATAGCGGCAGGATTTGAAGCAGAACGAACGGTACAATATTCTTGAAGTCTCTTGAAATTCTCATGTTTGAATACAAATTGGCTAACGGTAGCGAAGTTTTTTTGGAGCAATTCCTTGCGATGTTCTAACAAGAAGCTTTGGATGTATTGGATAAGATCTTCTAGGAGAAGTTCATCCGCTGCAGTCAAAATTTCAAGAATCGAGAGAATGTTTTGATTTTCTAAGGAAACTGCGCCAGTATATATGTATCTAAAGATCATAAGCAATTGTTAGAAATTATTTTTTTTGGTATTATTAACATCAAACACACCTGAGAACTATCTCGAAAATGCGTGGAGAGATATTTGGTTTAACAAATTTAATCTCATTTCCTTTTTTACGTTTAACCCACTCATTCTTAAGTTCCGAGGCAAAATGTGGGGAGCGTGCAAATAACAAGCCTGAATGCGCAGAAAAAGTCTTAGTCTCAGGTGGTTTACCAATTTCAATAAAGACATCGGCAAGTTGCGGGTCTTGGAAAAGGTTGGAAAAGCTTTGGGATAGATCCACAAGTAACTTCGGGTCCATCATTTACAGTATTAATAGATGGAACGCACTGAACCATGTTAAAAGTCACCTTTTAGTTGTGCCTTGATAAGTATTACGTGATACGAATTATTAAACTTGCGAAGCTGCTTTTAACGCCATTAATTTGACTTTAATTGGTCTAATATGCTGCTACAGTATGTACAATACATTAAATCCATTATCGAAGACACTTTATTGATATTTTATTTTTCTAACCATTACTGTTGATGAATGTATAAGTTTCGTGGAAAATTTGGTTAACAATAAAAGTATTATTACGAAATGTATTGCTTACCATTCACTCATAAAATATACAGTGTATATCAAAAATAATTGAACAGCTCATCACTTTACAAGATTTGATTTAGTTTCTCCAGTTTTGGTTAGACCAGGAAGGCGCACTAATAAAAACCGTCTGTCTGGTAAGTGGTCAAGTGCCGCCATTGTTTTCTTGCTCACTTTAATTGTTCGTTTTTAAAACATTAACCCGCAAAATAACATCTTTCAAGCTTCAACTACAGCATGAAACTATTTTATATTATTAGAATGAGGAGGTATGTGAGGTAGCTGATCTACAGTGCCGGACGAATGTACCATGCACCACTATTTATAACATCATTAAAAAAATTAAAAAAACAGGAGGGGTAGAGCATACAGGTAAAAATGGACAGTCGCGAAGCATTATAGAATGATTTTCAAAAATAATAGGTCAATATATTTGATGCAATAACTCATTTTCGTTGAGGACTTTGGTAATCAAACTAGAAAGGGATGGGTTAAAGGTTTCCATTATGACAATTCAAAGGCATTTAATCAAGCTTGGATATCAAAAAAAGCTTCTTTTAGCAACACCAATGCTCAGTGAAAAACAAAAAAAAAATCAGATGGAGTGAGCACATAAACACATTAATGACAACTGGGAAAAAACTATTTTTACTGATGAAATGACATTCTGTTTATTCCATAATACAGTAGAACGATAGTACAAAGGTGTATGACTTATATGTGCTATACCAAAGGATTGAAAAAAACTCTTTGCTTGGGGTGGTTTCTGTATAAAGGGAAAAACATCATTATCTTGCTTTGATAATATAATGAACAGTGAATTCTACATAAATATTCTTAGTATACACTTACCTGAAATCAAAAGAATATTCAGAAACAACTGGCATTTCCAACAGGATAATGATCCCAAGCACACTTGCAAAATTGCTCAAGCTTTTATTACTGAGCATATTTTTAATATTATTGACTGGCCCTCAAATAGTCTGGACTTGAACCCTATCGAAAATTTGTGGACCATCATAAAAGGTAACGTAGAAAAATGTATGCCACAAAATTTAAGCCAATTATTGCAGTTTATGGAGGATAAGTGGGAAATGATTCCAAGATCTTGCCTAATCAGGTTGATGATGTCGATGAGGACCCATTGTGAAATGGTTATTGCCAATAATGGCAAAAGAATATCATACTAAATTTTTTTTTTAAACATGTGTCACTTGGCTTCAAAACAGTATATTATTCGTTTATTTTGGTCCACAGGTTAATATACAATAATAAATTTTTCGTGTTCAATTATTTTTGATACACACTGTATGTACTGTATATTTGAATTTAAATCTACATTGGATAAGTCAATGCTATTTAACAAATACTTGTCAATTATCACCAAGCTTTTAACAACATAAAAGAAAAAATATTGTAATTTTCAAGTAACACACACAGATTTATTTTTTAATGTAATTTATTATTATTATTTTTTTTTGAAGGAACAAGTGGTCCCCACGTACTATTTTTATTATAAATTTTAGACTTGCAAGTACAAGATTTACAACCTTATAACATAGTATACATCTCTCTTTGCTAAAAAGAGTTTAATGCAAGGTTCACAATTGCGGTCTATTTATTTGAGCTCTTTAATACCACTCAAGAATATAGAAAAAGGAAATTCAAACCTATATTATGCCTTGAATGATGTCTAGCTACCTAGAGAATTTGATTACCTAATTATATGAAGGTGCTACAGCTACTATATACAGGTTGGTCTTCAAGTTATAACTAGGATTGGCACATTTGTTTTTCAACTGTGGCTTGATATATGACAAGTGGAACAAAAGTTGATTCCAAACTATACTAACTCCAAATATACCAAAATAAAATAGATTTTTTACTATTTGTATTTAACATTGACTCTTCATTCGAATCCATCATTAGAACTAAAGACTGAAGGGCAGCAATCATCTTTAACACCAATGCAATCCTTTGGTAACATCAATCTTTCACTATTTTTACCTAGTATAGATCTCTCATTTTAATACCTATCACTAGGACTATAGGCTGAGAGACAGCAATTAATTTTACTGTCAGAGTAGCTTTGGAGAGTATATTTTGGTTTTAGAATAAGGTGGAACCAGAAAGTGTGGAAAACAAATTTAGATATAAAGTAGTGGTCTGTTAAAAAGAGTGTCAGACATGTAGTGAAATTGAATTTTCTTAATGGTGTTAATACTTAATCTTGTACAATAAGCCTATATTGTTGGAAGAGTAGGCAAGAAACTTTTATTGTCGTCATTAGCTTGTATTGTAGGAGTAACTAGAATTCCCGGTCTTCATGTATTATTCTACTAAATTCTTTAATCACTAGTATAACATCTGCAAACTAATCTAACTTATTATTAGTTGCATTGGCATTGGCTGTCATATTTTTTTGGATACAGTGAAACACAACTCCTTGAATACTTTCAAATAAAAATAGTTATACATTAGTTTTTTAAATATATCTAGTCTAACCATTAACAAGTAAACAATATCAGATTTGGTAATAATAATCATGCCAATATTTTGATAAAAATAAATCATCCATTCTTTTTCTGTAAGGCTATGAAAGAGAAAAAAATTCTAAAGCCCACATCTTGAAAGAAGTTGTCACTTTTAAATATGGTCTTGAGAAAAGAAAGCCGACTGGTTAAAAAAGTGATGTTATGAAGAGTAAAGTTTATAAAAAAGAGAGAGGCCTAGAGAGAAAACCTTCAGGAAAAAGGAAAAACCTAACTTTAATAGAGAAAGGAAAAAGAAAAGAGGAAGAGGTGAAGTAAATAAAGAGTATATACAAAAAAAAGAAGAAAATAGGGAAAAGGGAATAAAATGATATAGAAGAGAAAAAGCTAAAAGCGAAAAAAGTAAACAATTCAAAAGTTTTCTAAAAAGGAAATTTTCAAGCATAGAAAGAGGAGTAGAAAAGAGTTTTTTTTACAGATCTAATGTGATTTATTATTATTTATACTGTATACTGTACTGTATATCAATAAGTTTTTAATACATAAGATTTAAATTTTTTTAGTAAAGTAAAATATAATATAACACTAAATTCTAATATCAGATTGATTTGTTATTATATAAATTACTGCTTAATTTCTTTAAAATATATTTATTAAATTATTTAAATTACATATTTTATCAAAAAATATTATTATATAAATATTAAATATTAAATATATATACAGTATAGTGCAAAAGTTTTTGAACTAATATTTTTTATTATAATTTAATAAATATTTATTTAATTTAAATAAAACTTCATTAAAATAATTTTGTGATTCTAATAATAATAATAATAAAGTTTTGTTATTAACTAATTAGTAATTTTATTATAAAATATTGATTTTAAAATTTTTTAAAAGGACTCTATACTTTATTGACTTTTTTTATATATAAATTTTGAATTTAAAATTAATTATAAAATTCAAAAAAAAAATTGTGACTATAAAAAATTTATTAAATATTTCTTATATTATATAAATTAATATTATGAAATTAATAGATTTTTTATTTTATAAAATTTTTCGTTTAATTTTACTTTATAAAAATTTTTTTAATTGATAAAAAAATTATAAAAAAATTGTTTTTTGATTTTTTTTACTTTTATTTAACAAATCTATATATTGAAATAATTTTGTTAATTTTTTATAATTTGTAATATACAATAAAATTTTGGATATAGCTTTAAAACATACTTTTAACTTTGAATCAAAATTTAATTATATTGTTATAATATATTTAAAAAATTTTCTTAAATAACCTTATTCTATAAGGTTTTAAATATATACAGTATATTCAAATTTTTATTATATTTTACTAATTAATTATTGATTTATAAATAAAATTAAAAATCAAAATTAGTTCAAAGACTTTTGCACCATACTGTATATACTTGCCTAAATATTCTTGATCATCTTCTAAGACAAATAAAATTTATATACTGGTAGTTATTTTGGATTCAAAATTCAAAATTCAATATTTTATAGATAATAATTGGAAAGAAAAATTGTTGGAAAAAATAAAAAAACAGTAAATATTTATTTTTATTTTTTTACAATTTATTTTTACAATTTAATTTTTAATATTAAATCTTTTTTATTTTTACAGTGTCAATAATGTTTTTCAAGAATATAGTAAATTAATCCAAGATTTATAACAACAATTAATACAAAAGAAATATATGATACAGTTAGAACAAAATTATTTAAATATTAGTATGTAAAAAAACAAAATGAATTGTAGCTATATTTTTCATTGCCTCAGATAACAGAAAAAATAGATATTTTTTAGAATGATAGAAAATAAATAAACAGCAATTTCCATGATTAGTATGCATTGCACACAATTATAAAGTAATACTTGCAAAAAATATATCTGTAAAACAGGTTTTTTCAGCAAGTGAAAATTTAATTACAGAAAAAAGAAATCAGTTGTTAGGTAAAACAACAAGAGCATATATATTGTGAATGTGATTTTCGGCGAGTCTGTTACCTCTTGGATCAGCACTCGCATAATGTTCAGATGGGTAGTTTCTTTAGTCAAGGCGTGTGATTTGACTTGGCCAGGTTTTCTTTTTAACTAATGTTTCTCTTGTTTTTCACCCTTGTGCTTTTACTGATAATCTTTTGCCACTGTTTCTTTGTGGCCCTTCAGATTATCCTCTTTCCAAGCTAGCGGTACTA